GGGAAGGCTTCTCTCGAGGGCGCCGAAGCCTCCCAGGCAGGGGCCGGAGGGTCTGGGCTGTGGGGAGAGCCCTAAAGCTGCTTGCCCGCTCCCACCCCGCGGACGGCATGCCCCCCGGGGAGGAGGGGGCTGCGCCCGAAAGACCCTCGGCCCGTTCTCGCGCGCCCCGGGACCAAAACAGCCCCGCGAGGAGGAACCGAAACGGAAGGGGCGCGGAGCCTCGGCTCCTCGGGAAGGCGCCCTGTGCACCCTCGGGAGCGCCCTCCGCATCTCGGGGAGGAGAGGCAGCTAGCTGCAAAGAGGGGGCAGGGCAGAGGGACCCCCCACGCCCGCCTGCCTGCCTGCCTCCGACACGGCCTCACCTGGGCAGGAGGAGCGCAGGCCTTAGCCGGAGCCGGCGGCGAGGGACGGGGCCGCCCGGGCTCCGCTTTCCCCGGCCATGTTGGGTCAGCTGACGCGCGCGGGTCACGTGGCGGCGGCGCTCCCCGAGAGAGAGAGAGAGAGACAAACTCCACGTGGCCCGACGGCGGAAGGGAAGACAGCTCCCTCCGCGGAGAAAGCACTCTGTACACGCTCAGGGGTTCCGGGGCGGTCTTTTGCGCGCAGGAGCAGCAGTGTGGCTGGGGGTCCCGGGAGCTGTAGTCTTGCTCTGCGGCCTCCGCGGCTGACTTTCGGCTACTCCAGGAACGTGTGAGGTGCGCGACCCTTCCCGCCTGGTCTCCGTTGGTCTTTGTCCCGGGTTGGAGGGCAATTCCTGGGGGGCGATGGCGCCCCCTTGTCAGGGAAGCAGCGGGGCCAGAGGGACGGGGTAGGGTAGAGCGTTCACGTGTAGGGTCCTTTCGCACAGGGAGTCCGAAACACGCATCCCAGGAGAGACTCCGGCGGAAGGAGAGCTGGTGAAAGGCTTCCAAGCCACCCTTCCTGCGGGCTGAAAGCCAGCACACAGCAACGAGAGGGTTGGCCTACATCCCTTCTGTCCAGGCTGGCTGGCTTTTTCGCGTGCACTACTAAACGACTAACGAATACATGCCCGGCCTCCGCTCTTACTTCTGAAAGGCACTCAAGCCCTTTCCTTCCCACCCTCTTTCGTTTTGTTGGGCTGCGGTGCCCCCCAGCGGTGACTGCCGGGGTGACACCCTCCTCCTTTCCCTATGGGGGTCAATGACTATTTGGAAGCGGGCTTCCCACCCCAGACGGGCACGCCACCTCCGCCGCCGCCGGTTCCTCCCCACTGCCCTGCTGTGAGACGCAATCCCGCGGTTCTTGCAGGGAACCCTCGGCAGCCCAGGGGGCGAGGGCTGCGGTGGCCCCGTGAACCTCGCGCCAGTCTCTCTCCTGCTCTTCCTGACAGGGCTGTCGGTTGGGAGGGTAACCGGGAAGGAGGAGGGCGTGCGCCGGTCTCCGCGGATCCAAAGAAAGGCAGCGCATAAAGGTCGGTAGGAAACGCTGCTTCTTTAACCGCGGGTCCGTGTGAAGTGGAGTTTCTCGGAGGTATGCATCATGTATCCCTAGGCGCCAAGAACGTTTTAGGCTCAGAAGGTGGCCGAGGAAGAAGTAGGTATTAAAGAGAAGGAATAAAGCTTTAGAAATCATTGAAGTATATATGGAACAAAAGAAACTCAGAACACCTCGGCCTGGTAATGAGCCATCGGAAGTAAAGACTATTAAGGCTGATAATCCCCAGAAAAAAAATGGGAAGAGACTGAAAAGCCCAAAAGGAGAATTCGGGGGCTAGAGAGGCCGGGGAGCTGGTGTCCTGCCAACGCAAATAAGGGGACTGTTCAGAAGTGCTCCTTCCGAAGTCAAGGAGGGCCATTGGGGCGCCCAGCCTCAGAGAGGAGAGGAGGGACGGGAAGAAACCCAGCAGGCGAATTTAAATATATAGATAAGATTGGAAGAAGGGAAGAGGAAGCCGGAGAAGGGTGCAGGACTAGATGGGCCCCTGCCCCACGGGGCCATTGCAGCCCTCCTATGAGGTGGGCGAGGGCTGAGGAAGAGGCCGTGCCCGCTGGTGCTCCTACTTAGCAACGACAGACATCACCGGCTCCATCTCCACCCATGCAGCAGGATCAAGCTGCTGACAGGAGGTGGCACCCTTGGCCAGGTTTGGAGGGACCTTTGAAGGCTTTGCCCGGAGGCAGAACCAACCGGCTGGGAGGGCCGACCCGATCTTGGACCGGCTGGATTTCAAGTCATCAGGAGCACCACCACCACCACCCCCAGGACTGCCACACTTATCGAAGCCAAAAGGAAGGCCTCTGTCCCAAGGAGCTCAGGGTTTCCCTTTGAACCAGGGGGCCAAGCAGATCCCTGTGCCGCGACTGCCCTTCCCTTGGTGCCCTTCCTTGGAGGGGAAGGACTGGCTGGCAGAGCCCTTGCCCAAAGGAGGCCCCAACGTCCTCCTTTTCTTCAGGGAGGCGCCTCCTGTGTTTGCCCGTCTCCAGCGCAGGAAGGAAAGGAAGACAGAAGGTTGCCCCATCTCAGCTGGCCCCCTGCACCATCCCTGGAACAGGAGGCGAGGAGGCGTACAAAGGGGAAAGACCCTCAAAGGCCATCCAGGCCAGCCCCGTGTTGCCTATGCAGCACACACACACACACCCCAACAGACCCCAGAGAGGAGGCCCCACGGACCTTGCCGGACAGCCTGCAGGGAAAGAGAGCCCACCGTATCCCTCCCTCCAAGGCGGTGGCCCTGGCAGAAGGGCTCTGGCTGACAAGGAAGGTGTCCTCCCACTCGCCTGTCTCCCCGTGGGGTCCTGCTGCCCCGTGAGCCCTGCCCTCCAGAGCAAGACCTGCCGGCATTACCGCAGGTAATCCTCTTACCCTTCTGTCTGTGACAGAGCTAATCATACAGGCACAGGGCAGGATGTGATTCTCCGGTCAGCCAGCAACCTCACAAGGGAAGCAAGAGTACCGAGGGGTGAACAGGGCAGGAGCCACCCTGGGTGCAAGAGAAATGCCGAGGAGGTTGTTGGAGGCGAAAGCATGCACGGAGGGGTGCTTCCCCCCCCCATCAACGTGGCCTTGTCCCACCATTGCCCACTGGGGTGCCTCAGCCACCTGTCCGGAAACCAGGAAGACGAGGGAGGAGCTTTCTTCCAAGCACTGGTTCAAGGACAAGTCCTCTGAGCGTTGCAGGTGGAAGTTGGACAAACAGGCTTCACGTGCAGACAGGTGTGTGCCTGGCTGAAGGGCGAGGGCAAAGCCCTGCGGTGGACAGGTAGACCTCGGCTGCTGCTCAGCCCTTGCCAGTGGGAGTTACGTAAGGCCCAGCCTGGTGCCCAGAGCAGGGCCTATAGATAGGCCAGCTCGAGATATTTCAGTCCTCAGGAGCCGCCTTCCGCTGGCAGGAGGCCGGGGAGGTCAGAGCAGCGTCATTGCTGGCCAAGGCAGGGTGGGGGCGGGAGGTTGTCAACAGGCATCTGAAAAGTCCAGCTGAGGAGGAGGAGGAGGAAGAGGCTGCTCTTAAAGGGTCCCAGTCCTCCGATGGCAGGGGCCCAGTTATGCCCTGCCCTGCCCAGCCCAGCAAAGGCCAGAGGACCTCCAGGGTTGGGCACTTGGGCAAAGGTTCCTTGGCCTCAGGAGTGTGACACATGAAGACGAGAAAGAAGAGCAGGAGGAAGGGCTTGTTTCCGTGTCGCGTGCCAGAGAGAAGGATGCCTCTCTCTCCTCCCGTGCCCACCCAGCTGCCTTTCCGAGGAGAGGAGCAGCTGCTCTGGAGTGCGTAAACCTGGCCAGAGGTTTTCTTCCCATCCTGGCTTCCTTTCCCCGGGCACGGCCCTCTGGGCCTGGATTACCAGCACCAGCAGCAGCAGCAAGAGGAGAACCACAGATGGGGCCTAGACATCCCCCACAGCCAGTCTTGGCCAGGTGGGGCGGTGTCGCCCCCTGTATCCCGGGGCAGGGGGAACGGCCTCTCTCAGCTCCACCTCCTCTACCGCCGCTCCCAGGCCCTGTGACGACCAAGCTGGAACCAGTCCGTGGACTGGGAAGGAGGTTCCGGTGAGCTTGAATGAATGAACCAACAAACAAAGGCTGGCTGGAGGCTGAGCTGGGCAGGGCAGGACTCCTCTGCAGGCCAGGAGCCAGCCGGCCGGCAAGGAGGGCCCTTCTCTGCCTGGAAACCAGGCGGCTTCCTCTGTCTGTGACTCATCCAGGAATGTCTGGAAAACGGGGCAGTGGCAGCAACCCAGGAGCATCATGGCTGTCCACAGAGGGAGGGCACACCAACCCCCCCTCCCCGTTCCTCAGGCTTGGGCCTCACCGGCTCAGTCATAGCCATGTCGGGAAGGTCTGGATGAGCAGCCAGCTTGCAGCAGATGCACCCCCCACGGCAAAAGCCACGGGGGGGGGACAGCATCCACCATGGGGTGAAGGATAGGCCACTTCATCTTGGAGAAGTGTCTCCTTCCTCCTCAGCCTGCACTGTCCCCAGCCAGCTGGGTGGTAGCCCCCTGGGCCCTCTGCTCCCCCCCCAATCCTGCCTTTCGACTCCTTCAAAGGGGCAGCCCTAAGTGGCTGCCTCCCTTCCCCTGTCCATTTGGCGCTTTTCCTCTTGCTCAGGCCCACAGAGGGCAGGGAGGGTGGTGGCAAATAGCTAACATTCCTCTGGCGTTGGTTCATGTGCAGCAGCCCCCCCCCCGCACGCGCCTGCCCTCCCACCAGCCGCCTATCATCTGCTTCAGCCTTCCTGGATGGCTCTGGAGGGTTGGTCCAGGAGGCCTGGGCAGCCTTGTTGGGGGTGGGATGGGGAGAGAAAGAGGCAGGCAAGGGGAGTGTGCCTTGAATACAGGCCAAGGAGTCCCCTCCCTCCAGGAAAGGACCTTGGGCATCTGCCTGGAGGAGAAGGAGGGGGCCCAGGTGGGGGGGGTAGTGGCCACTGCTGCCAGGCTCCTCTCTGAGTCATCCCTCGGTCACATGGCTGCTGGGCGCTTCCTTGGCATGCCCTTTTTCAGAGCTCCCTCCCGCTTGCTCGCTCGTCCCCAAATGTCAGCAC